AATGGACTTTTCCTCCAGGAAGCTGTCCATTCCACTTTTAAAGGCATCTAGGCCTGTGGCAAGGAGTTACACAGGCTAACAGCATGCTGGGTAAAGAATTTTTTTTGTCTGTTCTCACTCTCCCAGCACTCAATTGGAGTGGATGCCCCCTGGTTCTGGTATTACGTGAGAGGGAAAAGAGCTTCCCTCTATCCACTTTGTCCTGTCATCTTTTACTAGCGGCTGTCCTGGCTGGGGCATCTGGTAACTGCAATCCTGACATCTGGGGAGGGGGCTGTGTGTTCTACCAATGATTTGAGCTAAAAGCAGTTACATGACTAATAGTACAGAGTAAGCAAAAAAGAAAAAATACCCAAGCTCCATATGAGGAGGAAAGAGGATTTGCCCCACTCCCACTTTTGATAGACTTTTTGGAATAAACAAGGGAATATACTTAAATCATTGTCCTATGCAAATACTTGGAAAATTCAGAACTGTATAGCTGTGACATCTAGTCCAGCTTCCTCCATCCCATAGTGGCCCCACTGGATGCCTGTGGGAACACACAAGATAACTAGATACCCATCTCCTGATACCCCTCCTCTGCATCTGGCATTTTGAAGTAACTTCCTTTTAAGCCTGTAAAGTATACATCCCCATCATGATTTGTAACCTGCAATGGACTTTTCCTCCAGAAATCTGTCCAATCTGTCCAATCCCCTTTTAAAGGCATTTAGGCCAGATGTCATCAGCACATCCTGTGGCAAGGGGTTCCACAGACTAACAACATGCTGGGTAAAGAAAGAATTTTTTTTGTCTGTTCTCACTCTCCCAGCACTCAATTGGAGTGGATGCCCCCTGGTTCTGGTATTACGTGAGAGGGAAAAGAGCTTCCCTCTATCCACTTTGTCCTGTCATCTTTTACTAGCGGCTGTCCTGGCTGGGGCATCTGGTAACTGCAATCCTGACATCTGGGGAGGGGGCTGTGTGTTCTACCAATGATTTGAGCTAAAAGCAGTTACATGACTAATAGTACAGAGTAAGCAAAAAAGAAAAAATACCCAAGCTCCATATGAGGAGGAAAGAGGATTTGCCCCACTCCCACTTTTGATAGACTTTTTGAAATAAACAAGGGAATATACTTAAATCATTGTCCTATGCAAATACTTGGAAAATTCAGAACTGTATAGCTGTGAACCAAGGTTGGAAGGAATATGAGCAGTGTGTAGCAAAGCCCCAGGTGAAACGTTTGTACCACTTACAGAATTCATATCTTGGCACAGAATTGGAAGTACCAGGACATAAGGTTTATTTCTCATTGTAGAGGACACATAAATCTGGATAAATGCCAGGCTGACTACCATCACTGATTTGAAAGAGTATTCCCTGAACTTTTGCATTTTAATAAGAAATAAACAACAATTGTGTGATTGAAAAAAGAACAGAAGCTACTGCACACATGGTAATTTTTGAATGAAATAAACAAGTATCCCATCAGCCCCTGGTCTGGTTCTTTGGAATAGGCAATATAGTCCCAGAGCTTCCAGACTATGAGTTGGGGAGGCGGGGAATGCTTAGCAACACTTAAAATTTGATTAGCTCATCAGCAAACTACTTTTTGTGGAGTATGTAGAGAAGGATGGGGCCATTAAAACCCTCCCAACTTTAAAAATCAATTCAACATAACATCACAAGACCATTAAATACACTTTTAATATGCACTATTCTGGGTGATTTACAGGAAGATAAAACAAACAATACGTATCAAGTTAAAATAAAGCATAGTGACATAACCTCATAATATGCATATTATAACTCACAAGCAAAACATTAGGCATACAGTATCAAAAATCAAGGTAGGTAGCTGGGAAAGGCCTCTCTGAAAAGCAAAGTTTTCAGGTGTCTTGAACGTTGGGAGGGAGGAAGCCAGGTACAGCTCTACTGGATGTTGGTGCCAGTGCAAAGAAGGCTCTGGTTCTGGTAGATGATTTCCTAGCCTCCCTTGGGATGGCCACCTGGAGTAATATTACCAGGGTGGACTACTGGTGTGGGTAAACAACATAGGGGACGATGTTCCAACAAGAAATATGGCCCCAAATCATGAAGGGCTTTGTAGGTGATCCTCAAAACCTTGAATCTCATCCAAGAGGCAACAGGTGGACGAGGACTGGGGATGTGGTCAAATTTACTTGTACCAGCCACAGCCCCATGTAGAGGGCATTGCAGTAGTTGATCTGGGAGATGACCAGTGCATGCGCCAATGTCCTGAGGAACTCCTCATCCAGATAGGGGCAGAGTCGGACGATATGCCTGAGCTGATTAAAGGCACTGGAGCAATCTGGGAGTCCCAAGGCAAAGCTGGGTCCAGGATCACGGATGACAGCTTCCAATTTAGAGGTCGTCCCTCCTAGTTTGTCAGAGGAACAAAACTGTGGAGCTGTGCTGATCTTAGACTGGGGGAAAGTAAGAGGAATCCCTCTAGATGAGTAGTCTCCAAGCTTGGGTTCCGAGGTGATATTGGACTGCAGAAATCTCGGCCCACAGAGCTAGCAGTGAAAGCTTCTGAGTGTTTTAGTTTAAAAACATCTGAGGAACCACTGTTCTACATGTTGTTAGATTGCAACTCTTAAGTATTCACCATTGCTAGCTATGCGGCTTGAGCTGGTGGAAGTTGTAGTCCAACAGCATCTGATGAACTGCATATTGCCTTATACTTGATAAATCCATTTACATACAGCTTGGACAGTTACTTTTAAGAAGTAGTGAATCACAGAGAGGTCCCCCAAAATCAACTATTTACCATTATAATTCTATCATTATCATCTTGAGTGTTAGTTTGATACTGAAAGATCTGTTATCCAAAGTCAGGGGAATGCTGTATTCAGACTGTTAATTATTTTGTATCTAATCTCTCTGTGCTGGAATCTGTAGCGAAAGGTGGCAAATAAAACCATAAAATCTACTTGCATGAAGCATTGCTTTCTAGACAAATTTATGGGAAACTTTTCTGTACCTCACAAGTATGCTGGCAACTTGGTGTTATGCTTGGGCCGCCGTAGGCAACTGCCTTCCAAAATGGATGATTCTTCCAGGAGTAGGAAGTTATTTGAACCTGCTTCATGTTTCCTAAATGCATGAACTTGGGAGGCATTTCTTGTCATGAAGAAGAAGACGATGACGACGATGAAGAAGAAGCAGCGGCAGCAGTACTTTAATATTTTAGTCTGCAGGCCAGCATTGGTACCCAAATATTCCACTCTGTAGAATGGATGGAGTGGGTGAGTAACTGTCTTTGCAAGAAAGCCATGGGAATCCAGCACTCTGTTTCCAGAACTGAATGAGACTGGAAGTCTGAGGAAGGGCCATGAAGGTGGTGGCTGCCCTTATTTGTCAGCAGATGTGGCAATGTTGTATACGACTTCTAAATATGGAAGCTTCATTCAGTGTATCTTAATATGTACATCCATTGTGGCAACAAATTCCATGAGGTTCCTGCTACTGTCTGAAGTACTTCCTTTTGTCAGCCCTGACAATCCAGTTGTTGCCGTTGTTGCTATTCATTTCTAAGTATCACAATTTTCTGAAGTCCTTTACAGAAATCAGAGCTGA